CTTACAACCTCATCAACTGATTTCCCTTCATTCCTTAATACCCTGCGTCTAAACACACTATTACTTACCCGGTGATCCCAACAGATGCCAGCAATATTTCTAAAGCATCTGTGGTCAAATACTAGTAGCTTACGAGTATATTCTACCCTTAATGGCCATGTTTCGCTGCCGTAAAGTAAAACAGAACGAACTACTACACAGTATACTCGTCCCTTACTTGATAGGCGGATATTTCGCCTTCGCCATAAGGTGACATAAATTGGCAAAAGCCAAAGGAGCTTTCTGAATCCGTGCAGAGATTTTTTCAGACACCAACTTATTAGGGCTGATCAGACTTCCAAGATAAGTGAAGTTGTCAACGCGTTCTACAACTTCATTCCCTATCCTTGGTTCAGGTGATGACACAGGCCAGTCTTGAAGTAATAACTTGCATTAAAGAAAGAGAAACGCATCGCAAACCTCCTGGTGTTGTTGCTCAGTGCTACCAAAAGACTCTGCATGTTATCAGCGTTTTCACCAAACAGGAATATGTCATCTGTGTATTTTAAGTAGATAGGTGGACTTCCTGGAAGGAAATCAGGTCCTGAAAATTCGGACGACCAGAACGTTATTTTGAGCAGTAGGTCATGTGGGGATTATGTGGTCGATGCAGCCACGACCAGGTCTGAAGCCAGCCTGATTTTCACGTGTTTGCAATTAACGAGTCTTAGTTAGGCGACCGATAATTATTGGGGCTAATATTTTAGATGCTATGTTAGTCAAACTAATCCCTCTATGGTTGTCACAGGATGATTTTGACCCTTTCTTATATATAGGGACAATAAGTGCTTGCGACCAGTCAGATAGGATTACGTACAGCTCCCAGAGTTTAGCTAAAATATTAGTCAATCTAATCGCTAAAATTGGACCATCATCCTTAAAGACGTTTGTGGTCACTCCATCTGGACCAACTACTCTTCATCGTTCCAGATTAGCTCTGGCTTTCTAAACTTTAGCTAGCGTCGGGAGACCTACTTCAGTATTCCATTCAGGTTGTCTGAGAATGGTGGGTAGTTGTAGAGTGGTTGAAGGCCAGATGAACTACTCCTTAAAATGTTTCACCCGTCGTTCTAAACGTCTGGACTGTGAGTAGATAAGTGTCGTCTTTTTCCAAAATAGCCTCACTTACAATTGACTTATTACTTCCGGTTTCTTTTATTAGTCTGAAAAGCTGTCTGGTGTTACTTACAGCCACTACCGTTTCAATCTCTCTTGATTTCATTTCCAACCACTGCTCACGGTCGTTCCTTGGACTTTCGGTTAACCAAGATCTGATTTGTTTTCAGTGACTAATCGTTTGGTACTATTTAACAACATGTTTAAAGTTCATAGAGAACACATTCAGGCTGGAGATAGAACAATATATTTAATGTAAGTAGAGAGAAGTTATACAGAATCACTCCTCTTGCAATGCTGAGCCATGTCATCCGATTGGTTTGATGTTTCCGCTTTTTACAGTTGACTTCTTCGTGCCAATTGCTGTCGACTATGAACTAGTCAACCCGAGTTGCTACAAGATCTCCGTTGATCCACTTAAATACAGATCCCACCGCTTCGTTTGCTTCATCGATTTGCTGTCAGGTTGATTATTTCCGAGTTATTTTTCACTTGGTGGAAGAACTCTTCGCTTTTGGTAACGGCCTAGATCCAAACTATCCTACAGGTGTTATTTTTGTCTCTGAAGTATACAGGTCGTGACAATAGGTTCTCTCACGATCTGGTGTTAGTGTCATTCACAGTAGTTGTTTTATTCGTTTAGAGTCACCGGTCAGGGGAGCAAGTATTACTTACTTGCGCCTGTTACTCCCAATGAAGCATAGGCCGCACACCAGCCTTCCCCAACCCACTCTGTTCTGGGCCTTCTTTTCTAATTCTAGCCAACTCTTGTTTATTTTTCCCATGTCTATCTCCATTTCTCGGCGTAATGTGTTCTTTGGTCTTCCTCTTTTCCTTTGGCCTTGAGGATGACATGTGAGGGCTTGTCTTGTGACGCAGTTGGGTGCTCTCCTCAACGTGTGTCCTATCCACTTCCAGCGCTTCTTCCTGATTTCGTCCTCCGCTGGAGTCTGGTTTGCTCTCTCCCACAGTAGGTTGTTGCTAATAGTGTCCGGCCAACGGATCCGAATTATTCTGCATAGACAACTGTTAATAGACACCTGTATGTTCTGGATGATGGCTTTCGTAGTTCTCCAGGTTTCCGCCTCATACAGTAGAACTGTCTTGACATTTATATTGAAAATTCTGACCATGATGTTGGTTGACAGACAGTTGTTTTGAGCTCCAGATGTTCTTCAGCTGCAAATATGCTGATCTTGTCTTGCCGATTCGCGCCTTCACATCTGCATCAGATCCATCGTGTTCATCAATGGTGTTGCCCAGTTATGTAAAGGTTTTTACATCTTCCACATCTCCGTCAATTGTGACTGGATTGGTGCATACTGTGTTGTATTGGAGAATCTCGCTTTTCCCTTTGTGTATATTGAGACCTATAGCTGCTGAGGCTGATGCTACACTGATTCTCTTCTCCTGCATTTGCTGTTGCCTGTGCAATAGAAGGGCCAGATCATCTGCGAAGTCTAGATCGTTCAGCTTCATCCTAGCTGTTCACTGTATCCCGTACTTCCCTTCAGACGTTGACGTCTTCATGACCCAGGAGATCACCAAGAAAAAGAGAAAGGGTGGAAGTAAGCAACTTTGCCTGACACTGGCCTTTATTTCGAACGAGTCTACGAACTGTCCTACACGCACGATTTTGCAGTTTAGTCCACTATAGGAATTCCGTATGAAGTTGACTATCACTTCAGGCGCACCATAGTGTCGAAGAAGCGTCCATAGTGTTGTCTTGTCAACGCTATTAAATTCTTTCTCGTAGTCAGTGATGTGTAGAGCGGTGTAAAATGATGAATTCCACCCAATTGATTGTTCCACAATGACATGGACGCTCATTCCAACCGTATATTGTGAAGGTGTTATTTTCGCTTCCTATTTAACATATAGCACAAATGTTTTGGCTTTAAATTAGATTAACATTCCTTATTTTAGTTTTATACCCCCTCCAAAGTAGGCGATTACATCTTCGGGTTTGAATATTTGTAATTGGTATCGGTCAAACTGATCTATCCATACTAGTTAGGATGCTTTAAGCTGGGGCAGTAACTTTATATCCCTCATATGTAATGAAAGAAATATGCCGAAAATCCTCCCAGAGTGTTTTTTTGAGAGTGCTGTTATTCCTTAGCTTCTTACGTTATATATTTCAATGTGCTCCTAGGGCTCGTATAACCAAGCTGTTATATTTTCTAGTGTTTTATGACGTGGCTTTTATCATCTGACTTCGATTAAGATTGGCCTACTATCGAGTTTTCTTGTTGAATGGTGATACTTTGTTGTTGGTTGGTGGCGGCGTTGAACAGTTAGTAAATGCTGATCGTTGACTATCTTCTGAAATCAGTGATGTCAATATTTGTTGGTGGATGTTGGAAATGCATTAACTAACTTTCAGAACGCTACTTCTGTGCAAGAAAATTTTCTGATTACATAATGCTCTTGCACCGTTTGATAATCAGTTAAAAAAGGCACACAGTTTGTCTGTGGTATATTTTAATGCAGGTGACTCGAAAAGGCTTTCCACGCCACATAAGATGACGTAGTTCTACTTGGTCGAATCCACCTTAGCTTTTTGGATTGTCCAATGAGTTTGGGTCTAATATTGATATTTCGTTGCTATACACACTTTTAACAAAGTTTTGGCTGCTCGTCGCTAGTGATAGAGTTGCTCTACATTTAACCGATAAAATTACGTTTCTAGTCAGCCATGAACACAATGGTTCGTTATAATTACCCTTTGAATAATGATCTACTTCGTTATTAGTACTGCTGTAATAATAGACCTAATCCTAATATTATAGATTTGTCATGTTATGACTGTTTAATCCACAGGTCTTAAGTGGGAGTCACATCATTGTGTACCTGTTGAATTCGAGGGGTAGTGCCTTGGCTACTGCGAGGAATTGTGCACGTGTGTCGTTCACGCCATGCTCGTAGAAGTTGGCTTCAGAGTAGCAGAAGCAGGCTTCGATGTTGTCAGGCCAGAAGGGCATCAGTTGGAACGAAGGTGGGGACATTGTCTTTAACTTAAGTAAATTGATTGTCTGTTCAGTCATGGTGAAATACCAAGTACGAGAATGAACGAGTGAAAAGAATCCAGAAACACGAAAAAATACCACAATATATAAAAATTAAAATAAAGCAATGATTTATGAAATTCCAAAAAGGAACAAACAGTTTGCAATTTGGCGTGCCAGATCACGTTGGGCTCACCAATGAAGATGCCACAGGCATTTGAAGTTTGACAATGCTTTAACCAGTAACACCTAATATGAATCGTACCCACCAAGTGAAATCAAAAGACAGAAGCGAATGGGTTCGAAGATATATTTGATAGGCTATCAATATATCGAGAATCGTCCGATCTAATCTAGCTAGCGATTGTATGGGATGTTGAGCACGGCGTCCCCACTCGTGATCTAGTGCGGATGCATGACCGAGCGCCTTCAGCTATGTGAGTCCAATAAAACTAATGTGGTCAGAGTCCAATGTCGAGAACTTACAGAGCTATTCATTTTGGGGATTTATTTACCACCACATCACGTTTTCCCTTGAATACGATCATTTATGTATGAAACATTCGACAAGTTTATTTAAAGTCAGGCGTCCATACATACATCTGATCCATTTTATTGTATCAAAAGGTAAATAATCGACCATCTGCAAATGGCATCTTTTTTTTCTTTAACATTATATTGTCAGTTTCCTACTGAGTATTAAAGAACAATGAGATCTTCTAAAAAAAGGTTCAATACTTTGAGGAAAAATATCTTCAGTAATGGTAATTAACATCACACACTGATCGTGACACATAAGCCAACTCTTAGTCATTTGTTTCAATCTTTGTGGATGCTAAAGAGCGCGTGAAAAAAGGGTAAGGGCTTCAGCTGCCGGAATTGGTCCTATTTTACTGACGAGATATAAGCAATGAACCCTTAGTTTTTCATTTATAAGGGGTTGTTACAAATTTTATGTATACACTACGTCTGGAGTAGTTTAAATAATGGTTTTTTCCACAGGACGTAATACCGATATCAGGTCTCATTATATCCCAAGCGGGTTCCGATGTTCCTTTGACGATAAAAGTTAGGAAATTCTCATATTAGTACACACTGGTCAATGTAACTTCTTTTGTACGCGAGACCTCCACTGCTTCATATATCTTCTGCTCATATATCCAATCTCCCAATTTTGTGGAAATAGCACAAAAAACTCCGAGATTTCACCTGGTCTGAAAAAATTTCACCAAAAATGACTTGAGATTTTTTGGCTTTCCCAAATGTCTCTCTTTAGTTTCTCCAAACTATGTAAAAGTACGGATTTTTATACGTATTTCGGGAAAACCTCGAATTCCTAAAATTCAGTACACTGATTATCTGTGAAGTGTGTACAGCACAGTATTACTTGGCACAATTATGTGCTATACCAAGTTTTCATATTTCAGTCAAAATCACAAGGGTGTCGATGTTAGTTCGCTACTAAACGTAGAGTGCAATCTACCGTTTCTGGGAGTAATTTTTTGTCGGTTTTTGGGAAATTCGACGTAACCTAATTTTATTAGGGAAATTTGGGGTTTTCTCCAATATTTCCTAAAAACTTACTCAGACCTTGTGGGATCTCTTACCATTCCTTCTTGTGCTTGCGACTGTTATCACTATAGTTCTCTTCTGTTGGTTAGTTCGCACTGATTTTGCGGGATGAAAACTAGCAAAATGGTCTTCATACTCACTAGAATCAATGTTGTTGTATGGTAATAACAACCACCTTCTGAATGGGTTTTGTAGTGTCTCGAATCGCATCCACTCACTTATCGCCTTCAAAGGTAAAGAACAGCCATCGAATAGATAGTTAACACTGAAAGTCACATAAAGAGTGCAAACGTCCGGGCTCGGGTTAAAAAGCTCCATGAGTATTGTTAGTAAATTATAGTGGCACCGTTTGAAGTCAGCCATATCGCCGAAAATTTACTTTTCTATATAGGTTTCGAGATTATTATTCCATAACTTTCTCATCGACCTCTATAGCCCTTGATGTCGGGGTTGGCTTACTGGGAAACTCGATTGGTAACGTGGGATACGCAAGTGACATAGTTATGTAGTGTGGCAACCTAAATCAGTGCATGCATGTACCAGGTTCCGCGTTGTGCATAATTGACTTTCACAGAACAAGCTGACACGTTTATTCCATGTCCCATAAATGTGGGCAAGCATCATGTGGAAAAAGTATTACTCTTACTCTGATCTACTCCCCTGTTACTTTCATCAGGGCAACTCAGAAGTCTCAGTAGTAAGTCTGTCTCCTAACACCTTTTGCTATGTAAAGGCAACTCGATTGTGTAAGGCATTTATTTAAACGCTAACTCCCACTTTCTGAATCTGACAGAAACTAGAAAGAACGACGACTTCCTAATTAAAACACCTCATTTGGTCATGTAATTTAATTTACAAATAACTAATTAAATCAACACGGCCCGGGCTTAATTTATTCAGTTGCAGTATATATATTCAAAACACCTGCGGTATAATCCTATCCGAATAGGTAGATATTAATTAACTGTCACGACTGATGTAATTCGGAATATCTCACAGCTGCATCTAGATGTTGATTCCTGCTAAAGACTATTTTACGAAGTTATCATTGGTATTGTCCATAATACCTAAATCAATTTCTACTTCCATGGAACTCTAATCAGAACGGCTACACTTCCATATGAGGTAGGCAAATATTCGATAACTCTACAATATATGACTGGAGTTCAGACCATAGTACCGCTGAAGCTACCATTCCTGTTTACTTTTGGAAGCAGTTTTATCTAAATACAATATTCAATATATATATCAGTCACAACGAGTCTTACTTGCATTTACTACCGTAAATGGGTTATAACCGCTAAATACTTTGCACAGGATATGCAACAGAGCTTAAGAGGAATTACAAAATTCATCTATATCTGCTGATACATTACTTCAATTACAAATAAAATGCTAGATTTTAAAAATAAAACATGTACTCTTTGATTTTTCCTCTAGGAACGTCATGGTGTGTTACTATGACTCTCAGCTCGATCCATCACATTTCCGTTTGATTCAAGCATCTGTTCCTGAAGTTTTAAAGTGGTTTAGCGATTTGTCCGCTTCTAAGCGTGTAGAATTTGTTTGCGGCTTACTTCAGTTATCTACGCCACCAGAGCTAAGGTTCTACGGCAGCTGCTTGGAAGAGATTGCCCGTCAAGATTACGAAAGTCTCCATGATTCTGAAATACAGGCAAATGCACCCATGGAAAATTATGGTGTTTTAACTTTGTATAATACTGTGCCATTGAATCCTGGTATTTCCACTTTGGTAACTCCGATTTCTATCCCGATTCCTCCCTCATTTATAATATTAAACAACAACCCAACATTGCGATCTAAACTTATTATCAGTCTTTCACTACTTAATTCTACAAATACACCAGCAGCTACAAGTTATTTTGAAATGTTAATGGCTGATGAGAGTGACACACATTCGCCGAATGATCTACAAATATCGACTACCATGTTTAAAACATCTTCCCTTGTAAAATGTAAATCATCTAAGAGTGGGTCTGTTTCATCAGACGACAGTGATGACGAATTGTCTTCAGTAGATATTTTAAGGACTATTAACCCGCAAGTCTTGGATGAAATCATGCTCATTTACACACTTGCTGCATTTCATCCTGCTTTCTCTTTTGACCAGCGACAACGTTTGTATAAGCGTTTATCCATCGTAAAAGCCTTATCTGATCATTCAGTAAAAATTGCTCAACTTGCCAATCAGTATAAAGATCCAAATAAACATGTCCTTAGTGAGTGGGAAAAGCCCCCTCGAAAATCACAGTCTCCATCTAACTATAAACACCATTCCTGTCTAAATTTTCCTGCGAGATCTAATGTTCCGCTGTGTCCTGCACCAAGACAATGTCGTCTTCACGGTGACCAAAGCTCCATCAATCAAGTAAGCCACACAGTACCACTGAGTTTTGTATATATCTGCATAACTAAATCACATTCTACTACCAACTAATTACGTCCCCATTTTCAATCCATAAGTTTGGTTCATTTGTGAATTATTTTCTCTCTATTCTATAAAATTAATGAAGCAAGAGAACATTGAACTTTAGTGTGGATTCCAGTCAACTAATGTAGTCACGATATAGCGGTAGTTTGGTAGGCAAAACATTTGACTTTCATTCAATGGTTGACTGATTTCAACCCTCTCCCACTTCAGTTTAACCAGTTAGGTCGTATCCTTATCTATCATACAAACGATGATCCCAAGCCGAGTGCATAAATCTGCTGTTTAAAGAATTCAGTAGTGATAATCCCTATGATCTCCTATCTTAGTAATATGTCTTGTTAAATTTTGATTTTGTCATCATAATCAGATGATTGATAACGTTGATTTACAATCTGTTCACAGTCTGGTTTCAAAAAATATTTCCAGTTATCTAAATGCTAAAGAAATTACCATAGTCGCTTCTTAGTATTAAACTCGGTCGAACTACATACTCGCACTTTTCTGTAATCCAAACGAATTAATCATATATAACAATAAATTCATTCATAACCACATAAGTAAAAGTCGTTATAATATTTACCAGTAAAGTACAATTTCATGGTATCCATATCATTTGCTAAAGATGAGGCAAATTAGGATAATATCAACACAAAGACAAATCTAACACAGTTATTGTGAATTAAACCGCGGTTGTACAATGACATATAATTATGATTTATAATTAAAAAGAATAGACTAGTCATTTCCGTCTTCATATCTTGGTATGATCAAAGAAACAAATAAAACTGGTCAAGTGCACTTTACATGATCTTGTAAAGGTGAAGATAAGAAGTTCGATTGAAGTGGAAATTTGGGCCTAAACAAGTTATTATGTCTTCTTCGACCTAGTATTCTTGGACGATTCGATTCACTTGATTAGTTTCCAAATTAAAATACGATTTGACCAGAGCGTCTGTATATTCCAGAGTAAATAGCAAGTGAAGTTAGGATAGTAATGAAATGTCACTGTGTACGTAAAATTTATACAGTAGACGTCTGGTGTTCTCTGCCCATCCCTTAGATCTGGTTGATTGAAAATTGGTCAGTGAGAATACTCCAACATGGTCTTACCTGAAACATCCTTTTATCGTATCTCCTTACACAAGTAAAAGGAAAATAGATAAAAAATGTTAACTTTTACAATCACCCTTGAGTTCGATGTGAAGCAGTAATACGTTCAGGACTTCTATGACAGTGGTATATCAACTACTACATCATTTTAGGTGCAAACGTGCTTGAGTACATAAGGCACGGCTGTTAGCTGCATTACTCGGAGTGCACATATGACATGCGATTGTAACAGCTTCTAAAACCTACCGGGACATTCAAGGCTAACTATTTTTTGATGTCAAGTGATCAGGGATAATAGGGAAAAACCCTCAAAGTCTTTCATGCTAATTAACACCCATCAGAGTGCTGTCTACTGTCTTGAAAAGAAAATTGATATTTTACGTAGGGTTTAAATCCATATCCCCTTAATTGGTCAAATACGTTACCAATGGGCTACGTAGACCATGATTACTAGCCTTCTGTAGGACCGAGACGTCAATTGTCTGACCACTGAGTGGCAATTATTTTCATCTTACTCTTGGTACTGATTAAATTCCGTCGGTCAAGTTGCCACATCTTACTTAGATATGATATCGTATAAATACTAAGACCAAAATTCCATTTGTTGGTTGTATTAAAACCAAGTTCAATAGCTTTGCAGATTATTTTATTAAAAAACTTCTTGTCTATTTTAGGACTCCAATAATAATCTTTCTACAAAGTATTCACATTGTGGTTATTTGCTGTGTCATTGCTCACAATGCCGTAAGTAAACAGACATTTTTTCTGACTGAGAAATTGAGCATTTTCGTTTTGATTCCGTTTACTTTTTTTTCAGTGATCCAAGTGGATTTGTTTTGAATCCCTATCACATTGATTACATTTGATAAGTCAGGCAATAATCATTTATTTAAAGATAAATCTGATACACAGAGAGGCAAGCGATACAGAGTAATATTGACTTATGACATTAAACACACATGTCGCGAACTACAGGTAGATAAAGGCATGAATGGTAGATATGTTTGCAGCTACTCTTTTCCCAAAGGTTTATTATTGAACTATAATTGAACGGTGTATAATCGTTGAATTTCCAACAATAAGCCTATGGGTTTTTGGAACATATTTGACTCCCACTATAATCACTTGGTCTTGCATAATCTCATGTATATTATTTTAGGCCACTTCAACTGTATAGTAAATTTGGATAACGATGCGATGTATTGTCATTCAGCAGATAAACTCGGCAATTAATAGGACGGAAGAATTAAGAGATCAATTCGTGTTGGGATTCTTGAATGAGTTCATATGGAGTATTTAAATGGATAAACAGTTAAATACGCATCTCAGCGAAGGGATCTCTTTTCAACGAATTTATTATCAAGCTGTACAATCGTATATATATGAAAATTTTTGTTTTTGTAAAAGTACTAATTCCGTGGGGAAATGTGAACACAGTTAATAAAAAGGTTATAATACTAGATTACGTAATATGAATAATAACAATAACAATAGATTTGATGAATATAATAAGATGATTAAAATGTTTTTGTCATAATAATTCTCATATATATATACGATTGTACAGCTTGATAATAAATTCGTTGAAAAGAGATCCCTTCGCTCAAATTCGTGTTTTAATTTTAATGTTTAAATACGCATCTATACATATACAAATATAGTACATGAGTACAAGTTAATAATTAGAAATCAAAACATCTTATAGGATTATGAATGAAATTCTTAATATTAAAATAGGACTTGACCCTGATCAGTTACGATTGTATATTAACCCACAAATTATGACTTGGTACCTTCATCTGTACACGTGACTACTTTTCGTCTGTATTTCGCTGACCATTAAATTACTAGCATGAACTCATAACTTCTGCGACTAACAGTGTGGTAGTAAATAGTCCAGTTACATCGTTCTCTTTCATTTATTAATAATTGCAACTAGTTATTCAAAAATATCGTTGTGTGGATGACGCGGAGGAGCGAAAACATTTTATTTATTAGACATTTGTTTGTGGACTGAGACACTGCTCTTGTCCCCAGATCAAACTAGGCGGTCGCTCCCTGAACCTTTGTCCTAGAGGTCTAATTCACAAGGCAGTAAAGTGATGTCAGGAGATGCTATGGCATGTAAACTGGTAACCAAAAAAGGGTTCATACGCCATTCATCCCCTCAGGATTCTGAAACCCATGTACATAAGTGGTTTGTAATCAAGGTTTCATAACTCCTCTAGATGAAATGTCCGTGTCCACCAACTCGGTTCAAGCCCAAGACGTTCGCTTTTCGTCTTCTCACATTCATTAACAACCCGCACTTGTATAAAAGCAGTACGATTCGTTTGGCTGTTTATAAACCTGTAGCCGTATGAAAGCACTTCAAGAGAAAATGGGAATTCTCTTCACCCTCGGTCGCACCAAGCAAATACAGTTTTGCTTTCCTCCCAATCGTAATTACGGCTTGTAGGTTAGCAATGATACTCAAGTTTTATCATCCATCTTCATATGGTAATAGTATTAGGTGTAGAATTCGAACAACCCTGGAGATGTTTACTGGAAATTACTTTCACATAAAGTCAGTCTTTGCACATAAATAGTGTTGATTGCAAGCACATTGTATGATGATAATAATAGCATGTAGTGTTTTCCGTTCACGGATGATTTAATATTTCTGTGCTTATCTCTGCTATTGTTATGCAGGTCATTATCCATACATTCTTTTTTATCGATCCACCAATTTCTTATATTCCAATCAATCATAGTTAAGCTGATTTGTTGTTTATATGGAAGCAAAACAATCTAGCGATATATGTATCTATGCTTTACTTAAATCAACTTTTTTATTATTGTAAACGAGTCCTTAATATCAATGTAGTTGACGTGATTGGTTACTCTCTGCCAGTAAAACCTGGTTTTTAATACAGATACTTGTATTTTCTGATTGAATACAGAAATGATAATAATATCTCGTCGAAACTAGTGTTGAAATATGGAACGCGTTTTATCGCAGTTAAAGCTAGTGAAGCAATAGGAATCGGTTGGTGTTGTTCAGTAAGTTAAGGGTGAAGATAATATGCACTACTGTTAATGATTTGTAAATAGAGGGAGTATGTGCTTAATTTGTAGGAGAAGAGCTAGAATAATAGAAACTTAATATCAAAACAATGACTGCGATTCGCACTACATTATAAACGATACCTAGTATCAATCAACTACTACTCAGTCTTCATCAGCTGTCTAAAGAGTTTTTCTCTATACGGTGTTTGTTCTTGCATGGTCGGGTTTACAAAATGAAAACCGTGATGCTGTCTGTCAAAAGCATTTTATCGAGATCATTCTGATGGTGGTAAAATATACTTCTAACTCCATAAGTGAGAATCAAATCGATGACTACCATTCTCGTTCCAGTGTTTGATAAAATATCAAGGTTTTTTAGGCTATGAAATTTTTCCACTTAACTAGACTTGTTTATCGTCGAATTAAATCTTATCATGAGAGAAGCAAGTTTTCCAACTGATTACTCATCGTTTGAAATGCTTTTGAATTCCGTTCATACGAAGAACAAACACTTGAACAACGTATGTTTATCGAATGAGTTGTCATTATAAATGTTTTTGCTGATATTTCTTATCCAGTAAGTGATACTGTTCGAATTGCCAGGACCAGGTAGTTTATGAGTGAGTTTCCACTTCTCCTTATCTGACAAAAACAAAACAGCTTTGCAAACGAGCTAATACATTTTCATTTTTGGATTACAGTGATGATATCACCTCATTTGTTACAATATATCAGTTTAAGCCCATAGCTTAGCCTGTGGACGTTCGTTGTCTGGTTATGTTGCACTCCATATCATATATATATCTATATCTATATCTATATATATATATATATATATATATATATCTATATCTATATCTATATATATATATATATAATCATCTGTTCGTCTAATTTTGCCGAAGTTTAATACTAGCAATCTTATTATTTTGATCAACATTTATCTGTGATATATCATCCACTGTTTCTGAAAATACTTATCGTTACATTTTACAAATATCTCCAGATCATCGAGGTTCTGTAACACGTTCATTACGTCGGCATAGTTTACCGTCAGATTGTTTGCGTTTTTGTGGATATGACAGTGACGAAAACAATAAGGTACGTTTATTCATCATAACTACCGGTTACATATATTATTTTTAAATCATACGTTCTTTTAAACATACGTACACTCAAAATCTACTTTCTGGCTAGCTATCTTTTTTTCTGTTTCCATATCGAACAATTGATTGTAAAAAGGGCAATGAGTATAAGCGACCCTATTCTAAAACGTGCATCTTCAGCAGTTCCCATCCACGACCCAGCAACTGGGAGTCGAACCTAGGACCTTTGGTTTTGCACATGGACGCTTAGTCCAATTGATGTTGAGTAACAGTAATATCAATAATACCTGCTTCTTAGTTAACCCATTAGACTAATGCGTAATATACATGAACACTAGTTATGGAGTCACACGTACATACTGAGCCTTGCTTCATACTCTAGTTGCTTAATAGAAGAAGTTAATTCATCAGTAACAATCGGTTGCTGTGATAAAAGTCATTTAAAATGCAATTGAAATTTTATCTGTTGTAACGGGTGTGTGACTGCAGGTTATGATACACAGAGTTATTATCGATCGCGATCTGTGACAGTGGACACGTAAACATGTAAGGACGACCTAGTGCCCTGATTGGCCCTGCCTCGATATCTGTCCCCAGCCAGTTGAGTCAAGAACAAAAGTCACAGCCTCGGAGTTATGAATCATTATATTTCAAACATACTTTGTTTATATACTAGTCAAGCAGACCACAACGTACCATAAAATAGAAAATAACATTGTACAATATTGGCCAACAGGAAAATAACACGTTAAATAAATATCGACCAATGCAAAATGTACATTTAAGGTCCAAGGACACCAATGGACTTAACATGATAATTATTGGTCTATTTTTCCCGACTATCCTAACACCTCCCCTTTTTCGAATGATCCGGAGTTCATATCTGCATTTTAAAATTTTCTGGGTTCATCCTCCCCCACGAAATAATGTTGGGTCCTCATCTCTCCAAGTTAAAATTAATTTGACTTTATTTAACACATGATAGTCACATGGAACAGAGAAGTCACTAAAAGTGATTAAGTAGTGTGGACCAACGTCGCTTGATATGAAGTCATCAACCTTTGATTCTTCTGGAACATTACCATAGAATTCCTTGAAAAACTCATTTGTGGATAGTCGATCACTGGGATAATTAACATCTATCAAAATTGTATTCAACTTCTGATCATCATTTGTGGCATCTAACACATTTTCTGGTACAAGAGGATCCAGATAATAAGATTCATCAGAGTCTCCTGTTGTTGACTGATGAGGACCGTTCGGAGCAGCTAGACTCAGTATAGTGCACGATTTGTTTCCTGTTTCCTTGTGAGAGGGCACTGTAATTAATTTATGAGCATTTAATGAAAGATCTTCCTGTGAGCTGGGTACATCACTGTCTGTACACGTTTCAGGAATAGTGGGATTTGAACCCACAACAGGGCATGATTCTGAACTGGACATTCCCGGATCGCTAGACGGGTTATGAGCGACTGCCTCATTTGCATTACTGATCATAAGGGATTCATAGAGGCTTTTGTTTTCATCTTCATATGTCCTGCAGTCATTCTCGAGTTCAGAATGTAAGTGAGAAATGAATTCATCAATTTCTTTCACATCTCCGAAACATGGGAGATTTAGCAGTCGCGTGCGCATATAGTCCAAAACATTCAACTGGCTTTCTCTGAAACGCTGCTGCTGGCGATCTAGTAGTATCTGCAATTGACCTGAGGGGATAGTCATTTTCTGAATCAGCAGAGTAATGAGAAATACTGTAATCAATTAACAACCAATGACTCCCAAGGACGCTGACGATCAATCTGAATGCTGATTGGCCAAAATAAATAGGATGAATCTCGTCCAATTACAGGGTTCAAAATTTTCTCTACCCCGTCGCCAATTGTTGTAACGTGGTGAGGACTGCAGGTTTTGGATACGCAGCGTATTCTGACCTTAGCGGCGTCATCAAGCTTTTTGAGGTCGACCTTGAACAAATCTTCATATTTCTTGAACCAAGTTTCAAAAGTAATGCCAGCTGAACCATCAAAATTAAATTCATGGATAGAATTAACAATCTGGTCAACATGAGATTTGAAGGGATCATCTGTAACTTCTTTTTGATCCAGGTTCATTTTCTGCGTTAGCATCTCTAACATGCGCATCTGGAACTTTTCTTGGCGTTCCAATAAGGCTTCAAATTGTTCCAAGGTAAGTGACATATTGATACAATAACCCGTCGCCAGATGTTATAACTTGAAAAAGCTGATTCTTCTTGATACAACCGCGTATAACTGAGCACTAGAACACCAAACCCTTCCAAGTCGCAACAAGAAGACAGAAGACTAACGAAAGGAATATTATTCCAAAACAGTGTCAAACATAGTACAAAAATGGTCAGGTATTTATAGTTTTTAGTGAGAACGAAATCATCATTACAGTCTTCCAATCCGCGTACAGGGGGTTATTAGCATTATCCAATGGGGAAGCTACACGTTGGAATTCTAGAACATTCTTTTGAAAGGTGATTGGATGGAACGTCTTCGGCTCCTTATGAGCCTCTTACAGCTTCCTCGAGTTCACCGGTAGTCCGTCGTCACATTATCACCTGCAGTTGGAGACCTTGGGTAACATGACTCACAAGCTGTCACAATGGTGTAGATGCACCTCCTTTTGTCCTTCCACAGACTCACAGTCCTATAATTTTCATGTATTTTTTTAAAAATTTTGATATCTAACCGTTTCTAATCCTACTAAAAATGTTAGTACTTTTTCCACTCTGAGATTTGCATATTTAAGATTGTTGCCCTACCTAGAGTACAGGCCGCCCACCACCGGAGATCTCCAATCAAATCTGTCCTAAACTACTCTCCTTTCCAGTTGTTGCTAAGTTCTTTTTATGGTCTTAATATCTGCTTCCGATTCCTAGCACTGTTTGTTCCGTCTTACCTGAAAGCCTCAACTTGAGATTTGGTTTGCGATGCAGTTTATTGACTTCCACAAACGTCCTATCCACATTCAGCATCTTTTCTATAGTTTCCTCAGCTAGAGGCTGATCTGTTCTCTGCTACAGTTTGTTATTACTAATGGTGTCTCACCAATAGATCTGCATTACCTTGACTGAACATTTGTATAATTTTCTGTACTTTTATGGCAATTACAGTGGTAGCCCTCCCCGTGTCAGCTCTGTACAATAAAACTCCTAATGTTGGTGTTGAAAATCCTGGCCTTAATCATGGATAGCAGTACTTCTGGGTTCCATATTTTCTTCAGTTGTGGAAGTTTTACCTTTGCTCTCCTAGTTCGTACCTTGGAATAACCGGATTCCCCATGTTTATCAATGATGCCCACGATATACGTAAATGCTCCCACCTTTTTGCGAGCTTCGTCACCAAGTGTGGGTTCGTTGGTACTCACCACGTTGTGCTTTAGGATCTTGTTTTTTCCTTTGTGAATGTTGAGACCTACTGCTGTGGAAGCCACTGCTTCACTGGTTCATTCTCTGCATTTATTGCTGTGTATGCGATAGAAAGGTTAAATCATCTTGATGGAGTTTTGTTCTTCAGCTCAGAGAACAAAATTCCATCAAAATCATCCACCTGAGCTACAAATCTTCTCCACCAGGCTAAATCATCTCCAAAGTCCCAGTTGTCTAAAGAGTCTACCGTATCTAGCGCTGCTTCTGAGATGTGAAGGTCTTCATCACTCAGCCAACAGCTAGCAAAAAGAGAAAGGAGAGTGGGAATAATTTTCTGACACCAGTTCTCACTTGGAAGGTATCTGTAAGCTCCCTTTCATGCACAACTTTGCAGTTCAGTTCCTTGTAGAAGTTGCGTATGATGCTGAGGATCTTTTCAGGTACTTCGTATTATCGGTAAAGATTCCACAATGTGTTTTTATCCACCCTCTCGAATGCTTTTGCCTAATCTTGAGAGCTGATGTATAATGATGACTTCCATTGTTACATGACCGATCCTTACGAAAACCAGCTTGTTCGTCTCAAATTCGTTTGTCTACTGAATCTTCTATTTGATCCAGCAACACCTTTAAGAACTTGATCTGGCACTGATAGTAGTGTGATGTCCTTGAGCTCCTTCGGTATTTGATGAAGTATCGCTATTTTCAGTTTCGTTGGTACTTGCCGTTTCTTCTGAATCCAGTCGACTCTATGCCTGGCTTCAGTGTTTCAGCTGGTACGATGTTTCATACTGTCACCTTGTCGTCCTTGATTTGTCTGATGGCCTTGATGATCCCTGTTTTCTTGATGGAATAAGATTTACAGGGAGTTTTGCGTGTTTCTTGGATTTCCGGTTGGTCCAGTGATAATGGTCGTCTCAAGAGCTCTTCAAAGTCATTTATCCACCTGTTTCATTGCTCTTAAACGTCCGTGACAAGTTTTCTTATATTCATAATTGGTCCCTCTGATCTACTATATATCCTTGCAAGCCTGTTTGCTCTCTCACATTTTCTCCTTCTGCAGCTTTTTCTGCTATAGCTCTCAGGTCTTCTACATATTTTCGCTTGTCAACTCCAATATTCTTTCTCACTCGTTTATTTACTTTTGTATATTAACCTTATGTCTTAGCTTTCTCCGGCTTTCTCTTCGTCTGTTTTTGGTCACTGTTTTTTTGTTTCTTATCTCAAGTCTTCTTCAAACCGCCTACGAAAATACATTATTTATTCTGTTACTTCTTGACATGTTCAAGTTATCGATTCTTTAATTCGTTTCCATTCTTGCTCTCCATGGTGGTTTCTTCTTTTAGTAGATCTTGTGAGACTTAGAACTTGTTGCAAAGAGTTATCATGAACTCGCTGTGATTTTTAACACTTCCAGGGAAGGATTTATTAAATTGTTATAGTACTACTTCTATTATCTAATGCTTCTTTAGATTCATTTTTAGCTTAGCCATCACCAAGTGGTAATCTGAAGCTATATCAGCTATTCTCTTTGTTCTTCCATTGATCTGAATTTTTTTTGATACATATGTGTACTTCCTCGTAGTTATTGTCTCCACCTAATGCGTTTATATCCGGTGTTGTCCATCTCGACCTTGGCGTTTAGTTCTCGTCGGGATAATCAGGCCCTATCCTGAGCGTTTCTGTAGTATGGACTGCAGTCTCTTATTGTCTGTGCTGCTATCATTAATGAATGCGTAGCTTTGGTTGACATTCAGTGTGATCTTTTCCTTTGTTTTGAAGGATTCCTTGATCATTCTGGAGTCATGAGATACCCATCGTATGAGTGCTTTCCGTTCCTCTTTGAACATTCTCAGTCTAACGTTTTGTGTATGTGTGATATATTTACTTCTCTGTGACCATCATAGAATAAAAACTCTCCTGAACTTTGTTTTTTTGTCTAGATTGTGTACATTGAGTTTCACTTATTCCAAACAGATCCAGGCTGTATCTTCTCATTTTTGTGGCTATTCGGATGGCCCTCCCAGTCTCCCAAATCACCCAGACATTTTATGTACCTGTTTTAATTGTTGCTCTGGTTTTCAGAAGGGGCATTTGTATCAAGGCTCCTAAAACATCTCGGCTTTCACCATGTGAAGTTATAAATTTCCTAAATAAATACTCTTTGACTTCCAAGGGAGGGTTTAAATAGTTGGAATTATATTTTTGGTTAGTGATTTTTCCTCTACCCGGACTTGAAAGTGACAGTAATCCTAGAGGGGCTCTAAATGCGGTTACTGTGAGATTTAGGTTGGTACGTTACATTTTTCTGTGCTAATGTGGTGTAGCAGCTTGAAGTAATGTTAGATTAGTGTAACTGTCTTATTCATCTCAATTGAACCAAGCTTAACAATTGGATTGATGTACACATGTCTCAGGTTACACGATGCATATAGTCAGATAACGTGTTCCATCATATCATAATATACAGTGGATTCTTATTCAATTTGTTTCCACCTGTCGTAATTTAATAGAAATATCTCTGTGTAGTGATTTACGATGAAGATAATCATACTTTTTGAATATTAATATTAAACCATTATTGATCAATGTAATTTGTTGTACAAATAAGGTATTAAGATTTAAGAGATGACCATTTTTATTAATTTAATCTGATAAAACCAGTGGAGTCTAATCCGTGTCTTGTATGAGACAAAAAACTTGTTAAATTTTATCAAAGATGTTTGTAGTAAACATTTGAACACAAAGCTACTACCCTTTCAATTTTCCTCATCAACATAAACTCTTAATGTTGTACATTCACTTTCTTTCTCTTGTTTTTCTCCACATTGAAATGTTTCATTCTATCAGAATAATATTAAAACTAATACTTGTTGATATATAAACATGAAAATTGTTAGGGTTACTTGAAAGGGTATAGTATATATAGCACATGACATTAGACATAAAACATCACATGTAATTAACCTCTTTTATTAGTTGCTCGTAGTCAGTTGTCTTTTTAAATATTTAGTACTTTTAAGTTCATGTAAAAAAAAGCTGTGTATACAGTGATGTTGACTCATTTCATTAACTTTTCGATGAAAAGTCAATCTTCTCTTCGATTACATTCAGTTGTGTCATCGTTTAAATGTCGTTGTCTGTTAATTCATTCTAAGTATTTAATTACATCAAACTTTTTCTCGTCTTACTGGTAGTAGGAGATCCATAGGAGAATATGTAATAGTGATTTTGACAGTCTTACATACTTGGTTACTGAAATCAAATAATTGTGTGACCAGTAGTGGGGTTCATTAGTGTCAGTCATGAGACAAATATTGATAATGGCTATGCATGGTAGTTGCACAGTATTGCTAAATATTGAAGATAGGAATATAAATTATTAGATTCTGACTCTTGCATGCTCATTCCGAGGTCTGAAGGTCCTGGGTTCTATTCCTTGTAGGGTTGTGGAGTCCCTAATTAGTATAAAATATCAGTGCGATGATTCTTTATTTTTGATGATTGTCTAGCTAAAATACAGTGTTGTAAATAACATATATGAATTTGCATAAAAACCAATGTTCCTGGGAATTAACGCGTTCTCCGAAAGCTTTTCAATTATAATCATATGGCTCAATGAACTCAACATCACCAAAAGCATTCGCCTACCTCAGCTGTAAATCTTCATGATTTCATAGACCACATAATGTAATGGTAGTTTTTTGTCTGAAACAAATTTTCCCCTATCTTTTTAAAAATAATTTATGCCACTTTGACGTTTATTAATTCTTCTGTCCCTACTGTTTCATTCAAAATGCAATTTGTACCGGATTCTCAATATTTTCACGCTTATTCAACTTAGTTAGAAAGATGGGACTTATTAAGACACTATGAAATGGCTATAATAAAAACAGAACTAAACTATTTGAGAGTATTCACATACTGAACTGTAATCTTCGTAGCTGTTCATGCTAATTTGTAGTACTAAATACAAATTTTTCTGTGTAATCAGCTCTTACGGACTCTGTTAGTGTCAGAGAGATAATATGATGGTAATTGATTACCATCATCTTACCTAAACCTGCCCCCAAATGTCCTGGTACGGCCGAGAGTGGGGAGTGTTATATCCTAGTGAAGATTAAATTACCGGTAACTTCCGAGGACTATTAATGGAATAATATTCTATAAATATTCCTATTGTATAATTATTCAATAATTAGATTATGTATATTTATATCCCCCTTATTATAAGTTTCATTTTGACCTATAATTTATTATTATACGATTTACTGTCCCTAAATTATGCAGAGTTTACTAACTACTGCCTCCCACGTTCACAGCCACTTTTTGGCTTTATTGTGTACAAATGTTATTTCCTATTTTATGGTGCGTTGCGGTCTGTTTGTTTGATATATAAACACAGTGTGTTTGAAATTTATGATTCGCATATTGGGAGCTGGTATTGAAGTTCTGGACTCAAGTGAACGGGCTAGGCGGACATAGGACCAATACGGACGCTAGACTGCTCATACTGGTCGAACGTCATTGGTTTGGCACAGTGCTAAGATTGTATAAGTCACATTTTGATTGGTGGATAAATCACGTGATAAAAAGCCGGACATAAAGTCATAACAGGGAAAGTCCGCTCTCCCTTTCGAAATGCTCTCACATGGCCACGCGTATATAGCCTCTGCCAGGGAAGTCCTACTCACTGCCTTCTCGTGGCGGGGGTGTTGTTTACGAAATTGAGAGGACGAAAAGTGAATGTCCTGCTCTTTAACCGGGTTGGTGGACATGGAGAGTCCACCTAGGGGAGTTGGAAAACACTGATTCCAAACCAATGGTGCACATGAGCTCCAGTATCCTAAAGGAACAAATGGCGTATGAACCAATCGCTGGTCACTGGCTACCATGGGACTGCATCTCCTTACGTTGCTCCACTACCTTGTGGATCAGAACTTCAGGTCGAAGACTTCGGGTGTGGCCCCCTAAGAAAAACATCTGAATCGGTTTGGGCACTCAGGCAGTATCACAGCCCTCACACATATCAAATGAGATCTGTGTGGCGCATATGTATTTGGTGCCTCCTTGTACCAATATCTATGTGTTAAAATAAAATAAATAAATACCTAAACCCGAAGTAGTCCGAGTGTGGGCTCAAGCCTTGCAACCTATTGACCGAGAGTTGCTCCACACTTACGCTTTAGTGTTTTTACGTCCAATAGATATGTAATATTACACTCATCCCATAATTCATGATATAGTTATCAGTACTTCATTCAAATCAACTTCTAATACATTTATTTTGTTGATACATCAAAAAAGCATTTGTTAAACAAATCAAATTCTGTTGTATAATGTCATCCAGACTTCTGTAATTTGTTTATTCGGAGGATTGCATAGTGCGTCATAATTAATCAGTTTTTTATAAACGAAGATTGTGGAGTAAAATGAATTCATTAAATCATGGTCTTTCTCCCTTTTTCGTTCATCTAAAAATCGAATTTACGCAAATATGAAAAGTAGTTAAAGTTGTCAGTAGTGGAATAAGTGACTCTATATATGTCACATGCAATATTACATTTTTGAAATACTTAGTTTTCTGATTTCTATCAGTCAATCCGTTTATAGAGGAAGATCAAGAGTACATAAAGTAAAATACATACACTTCATTGCTCATAATGTGTTTGTTGTTGTTCTTACTTTCTAAAAATGCCTGTCATCAAGGGAACAAATTGCATTGTATTTTAATTAGTTACACTATTCATTTCATGAAAATTTTCTGGGGAGTGTTTAATTTCTACTTCCCTCTGATTATTTCCATTCCACCCTCACCAAATTCATATACAAGTGAGTTGTAGTTTATTTTTATTTTCAGTGTTTTACATGTTTCTCTCCCTGTTAACTCGTCATTCCTTTTATTGTGCTAACTTGTTATTTATATTTTCTTTAAATTACCATTTTTAGTTAAGAATATTTAACTACGTATCATCGATCGGATTGTATCCGAACTGGATACTCAAAATAAGCGTTAATTGGGCTCCGAAATGTCACTAACACAACAAATATAACACTTTACACCCTAACAACAGGTTAAGATATTAGTTTAAAACACTTAAGTTCGACTCTAAAATTAATATTATCTTCGTACATAGTTACTTTACTAGTCATACAGGTATAAATTTTAACACAAAAATGAACTATATCATTATTTTTACATATTTTCCCCCTTTCTAACTAGGAACTTATTTCAATTACCAATCCAAGTACCGTAGATATGCATTTCAACAATAAAAGTGATACATTGGATGTATCATCGGTGACAAGCATTCAAACTGATTCATCATGTATTAGTAGACCAGATGATTCATTAGAGTCTACTAGCCGACGAAGACATGATGCTTTCGGGAGATTCGATGCTATTATTATTACTACTACTACTACCACTACTGTTACTACCACTGCTACTAGTAGTAATCAAAGGTCGAATGATGAACACTATCCTAGGACTACACGTTGTTTATCATGTCGAGAATACGATAGTCCAACTTGTAATGGAGAGTTATCTACTCATGATTCTGATTTGAATTATCTTAAAGAAGTACATCTTTGGTTGAAAAATCCTAATCGATCAGTTACTATTGGCGATCAATTTAATTCTTCTCCAAATACAATATCGACAAAATCTTCAATAAGTTTATCGACTTTATCCGATAATATTCACACATCTTTCCCATCTATGTTATCAAATTCTCAGTCTACATCTAAACTACAGGTATCCGATGTAGTGGATCCATTGTTGTTGACCAAGAACGATAATCATAATGGTAATAATAATTCCAGTTGTTTGGAACAAACACTTCCAGCCAGTGTTTATGATAATCGTCTGGACTTGTCTGCTGACTGCCAATCTATTAGCGAACTATGCATAAGTAAGTGTATGTGCGCTTCAATACTCTACTTATTTATATTTCCATATGCATTCCTGTTATATGGTACATTATATTCTAGCAAAATGTAATTAATTTGAACTAGTTAACGGCTTTTCGGGAGGTTCGCATTATTCTTATAAATTGTTACAGCAAATCACCTTCGATATGATAAGATAGCAGTCAAATCAAATTGAATGACATGTAACGCCATAACTTCTATTTTCATATTTTTCTCCGAACCTTGTCAGTATTAAAAGACAATATTTTGCCCATAATTAGAAAAAATTGCTTATTCAACAGTATAAATACAGTTCATGTGCACATTTCTTAATGAATGTGGAAAAATAGTTGAATCACTTGCACTGATTTACAAACTGTTCGAACTATCCAGCTAAATGAGCAGAGATGAATGTTGGCTAGCAGTAGAATCCAGGACGCGCGTTTCGTCCTGTTTGGACTCGTCAGCTGGATGTACCTACACTCCAGAGTTGGTGTTCACTCCGGGAGTCGAACCCAGTACTTTTCGCTTCAAACGGCATCACGTTATCCACTTAGATACCGAGTCCAGATAGTCAACAGTTTATACAATAGAATGAAGTAATTCATCTTTGTATTGGTTGTCTAAATCTTACCGGAGTGAAGATTAACTCTAGGATGCAGGTGCATCCAGCTGACGAGTTAAAAATAGGCCGAAACGCGCGTCCTGGATTCCACTGCTAACTACCATCCGTCTCTGCAGTGCTTGCGACTTAAAGTAATATCAAGGCAATCCGCACAGGATGCACATATACTAATAAGAGACTGATCAATCGCAATCCAACAACTAATACAAAAATAAACTATCTAACCATATTATTAGGACAAATAAATAGATGGATATTCACCCCTATATGTTATTTGTTAATTGATGACAATCGATTGAAACTCGTCTGCACAATTTGTATCCTAAATTTTGAAGTTAATTCACCCCCTCTTATGTAGAATTTGAACTCCTTTCTACATAACAATAAAAAAATTACGATTTAGAGTTATGCGATCTTTAATACTAGGTCAAAGCCTAGTAATGGTCGCATTACAGTTTGACTGATAGAATGCGATTAGTACTTAGGAACAGATAATATAATATTGGTTCCTAATATTAATTGATCACTTAGTCTGTAAATATCTGCTTTTAACTGGGAGCGGACCAAAGTATTTACATCTAACTTGACATCTTCTTACCATTTTTGTCAGTATTTATTATTTATTTATTTTAACACATAGATATTGGTACAAGGAGGCACCAAATACATATGCGCCACACAGATCTCATTTGATATGTGTGAGGGCTGTGATACTGCCTGAGTGCCCAAACCGATTCAGATGTTTTTCTTAGGGGGCCACACCCGAAGTCTTCGACCTGAAGTTCTGATCCACAAGGTAGTGGAGCAACGTAAGGAGATGCAGTCCCATGGTAGCCAGTGACCAGCGATTGATTCATACGCCATTTGTTCCTTTAGGATACTGGAGCTCATGTGCACTATTGGTTTGGAATCAGTGTTTTCCAACTCCCCTAGGTGGACTCTCCATGTCCACCAACCCGGTTAAAGAGCAGGACATTCACTTTTCGTCCTCTCAATTTCGTAAACAACACCCCCGTCACGAGAAGGCAGTGAGTAGGACTTCCCTGGCAGAGGCTATATACGCGTGGCCATGTGAGAGCATTTCGAAATGGAGAGCGGACTCTCCCCACTCTCGGCCGTACCGGGGCACTTGGGAGCTTTGTGAGTATTTTGTTGTGATAAAATGTAAAAAAGATTGGCTATTCATAGTCAATCTCATTTTAAAAAATGGTCAGTCCTGTGTAGTTTCACTGAATGATGTAATGGTAGATCATGATTAAAATAATCTAGGTTTTCGGTCAGACGCGCAAATAATTGACTATCTATACTGTTATGATATTAATATGTCATAAGCTTAATATAGTCTTGTGTAAGAAACAGTATCCATTTAATGCAAATGGCTACTTTAAACATTGTTTACGTTGATTTAATGACCTAATCAGTATATGGTGAACTGGAGAACCATGTACCTATTTATATTCGATAATTTTGATGTTTGATTATATTTCCTTGAAAAAGCTTGGACCAGATTGCCAGGCGAAACGTTAGATTTACTTCGAATTCATTCGCTGAGATTTTACTAATAATTCTTTTCTCTTTAAAGTATCAATTTGGTTTATTAATACTCAATAATTGGTAATCACCACTAGTCTTCGGTGTTTCAGTTAATTTTTGTACTCAAAGATTTGACTTCTGAACCCTCTAGTGTCTCAAGAGAAAGATGTGAATTTCTCTGTTCATTATTCGAAGTAGTCAGAATTAGAATTATTCGTCTTTATTATCGTGCTATATTTAACTTATTACTCATATAGGTTGGTGTTCGACCAGTCGGTTAGACCATTGTATAATAATACATTTTAACATATGATATTCGATTTACAACATGATGACTCATTTTGAGACTGACGGTGCTCATAAGAAGCACAAAGCAACAAGTATTTTAGTAATTTATATTAACGTGTTTATTAAGTAAAGATTCGTTTACCTAGCTTCAACCCACGTTCTAAGTTTGAGGACTATTGATCCCATCCAGTTAATCAAATCGAGATAGGTGGAGTGGAATTCACACCTATGACTTATTGACTGAAAGTTGAACACCTTAATTACTGAAGTGATCTTTTTGACAGTAAAGGATAAACTGCTAGTGTAGTCGTACCTGAGTAAATCTACTGTCATGTAACACCCATTCAGTCTGTTTTTACCGTCTTGTATTAAGAAATGGGATGAGTATCTTCAGATTTATGGCATCCAGTAATAATTAGTCGGTTTTATTAAGAAATATCTCTCTAAAGTGATTGCTATGATCATATTAATTAGTTTTCTCCATTGAATTTCGCTACTGTCTAGATACAACAAGAACCTTAACAGCTTCTGATGGGCCTTCCGTTTATAAAGATCTAGTTCGATCATCTGAGGAATTTACTTCGTGTTCGCCACCGATTAACCTGAGTTCAATGAATAATCCAATGTATTCCTCGTCGTCTACATCGAACAGAAGAGTCGTAGCCACAACATCAAGTTCAGACTTTCGTTTTAGTGCTGAGAAATGCTCGAAAACAATATCAGACTTTTGCCCCCTATTTCCAAAGCGTCATAGTTCCGGTTCTTCTCCAATTTCCACACCACCTTCTGAAGAAAGCAGTTCTGACTCCACTGCACTAAAAGCATCTTCACCGGAATATTGGACTCCAAAAGGCGCATCACGCTATGTTCGTGGAATATACACACCATACCAATCTTACAGTCAAACATTTCGTCCTGTTGTGAATCATTCTCGAGAATCTCAAGTAAAAAACACTTCCTCTTCAAGTCGATTATCCCAAGCATCTCATTCGATGGTTGTATCACATTCCAGTAGTGTATCAAAGCGCAAATCTTACAATCAATTCACCTTGGAGGATTTCCCTTCATTATCAACTTTACGTTCCATGGTCAATGCAGAATCATCAAATGTTTCAACTAAACATAAAACGAGTAATGAAAATTACAGTTCTTTTAATAGTCATATCAATCATAGTTGTAACAACAGTAATGATAATAATAATGCATGTACTCGTCAATTACCGATCACATCCACTACTTTTCCCGCGTCCTCGTGTGAATTACCTAATAGTGTACAAAATTCTCAATTAGATTTTGATAAACTTCCAGGTTAGTTAAATATTTTAAAAGCAAACAATATTAATGATAAATAGTACATTTATTTGTACAGAGATAGGGCTATTTACAACTGATACTTGTTGATATATTAAAAAAAACTGAAAAAAGTATGTTGTCTACATACTGGTTAGTTAGTCCTGTTTTCCCATTTTTATTTTTTCCAGAAAGATCTCTTATTCTTCATTACTTTAAACATCTAGAACGTATTTTCACAACACAAAATGAATATTTAACTTCGTCATCTTAATAAGCAGTATTGTATTGTACAAATTTATATATAGTTAGTCTTAGCTCACACTTTTATGCAAGTGATGCCAGCTGATAATTTTATTCGTTTGCTCAAATCAAAGTAGGCAGTTAAAGTAGGACTTGAACCAGAGATCTGTAATTCTTTGTAGGTAGCTAAGAGTTCTCACCATTACTCGACCACCTTCCTTATTTTTTCTCACTATTTCTATTGCCGTCCATTTTTGGGGACGCCATATCTCCAGAAAGTTCTTGTCTAACGTCTTTTAGAAACTTAAATTTATCGTTTTTCGCGCCAAAAGCGGCCATTTTTACCTTAAGATGGTATTTCCCACTTGGAAGGACCCTAAATGTCATTGGTTTGTCACCTCTTTCAATATTCTGTTTTGTGACGCTTCACAAGAACCGTTTTATACTGTATGTGTACGCTTGAATTGTGTGCTTGGTTCGTTCCTGCTTCTGACTGCTTATGGAATATACTTTTCCCTCGGCTGAACCTGATCTTCTCCCTCTAGTTAGCCGGGCTGGGGCGCATTGAGATAGTTTAGCTTTTCTTTTTGCTGTGTTGCAGGTCTTCGTTCCGTTCGCCGGTTTTATTGATGTCGTAATCTGTTCAAACACAACACTATATTACTGACTTTGTCTCTGTTTAGATTAGTTTTGAATCCTGTACTAATATACTCTATCGGCCTCATATTTGCTATAAGTTGTCTTGTAGACATTTATAACATGAAAATTTAATCACAGGTTTTTTCCCAACTTAAGCATCACAATACTGTGAGTCTTTTAGTCATTTTCGTTTAGGATGTGTTTCTCCCCCTCTAAATGCAAGTTGTTGCTTCAGGGCTGGCCTGCGTCAACACCTAAATTTGTAGAACGTGTCGACAACTTCACTTATCTTTGAAGTCTGATCAGCCCTAATAAGTTGGTGTCTGAAAAAATCTCTGCACGGATTCAGAAAGCTCCTTTGGCTTTTGCCAATTTATGTCACCTTATGGCGAAGGCGAGATATCCGCCTATCAAGTAAGGGACGAGTATACTGTGTAGTAGTTCGTTCTGTTTTACTTTACGGCAGCGAAACATGGCCATTAAGAATAGAATATACTCGTAAGCTACTAGTATTTGACCACAGATGCTTTAGAAATATTGCTGGCATCTGCTGGGATCACCGGGTAAGTAATAGCGTGTTTAGACGCAGGGTATTAAGGAATGAAGGCAAATCAGTTGATGAGGTTGTAAGTCTTCATCGACTAAGATGGTTGAGCCACGTGTTACGTATGCCTGAACACCGGTTACCACGACGCGCAATGCTGACTGGTGTTGGAGATGGTTGGAAGAAAGTTGTGGGCGGGCAAAACAAAATGTGGCATCAGTCACTGAAGTCACTAACTTCTATACTGAGCCATGTTGGTAGATGCAGACTACTTGGTTGGGGTCCGCGTGACTATCGTAACCAATGTTTGGAGACTGTGTTGCGTGGCTCAGAATCGATCACAATGGCGTCGTTGTATACACTCTTTGCCTTCCCTTAAATCGTGAGATTAAAACAGCTTTACGTATTTCTTTCTAATTCTTTATTCCTGTGCTATATCCTTATATGCAATCTTTCTTTTATATATTACCACCATTGAATTAACCACTTCTATGAATCCGGTGTTCATCTTGTTGTGTTAATGAGGTATGACAACTTGGACTAATGCATATATATGGCTGATCGTACGTTGTAACTTACTGACTGTTTAGGTCATGTCACAAGACACAAAGCACTATTTGATATACTTGGATAGGTTGCAAATGGAATAGATTTTTTATCTATTCTGTGTACGTGAATAAATTTTCGCTTTTCGATCACAACTTCATGTCTTCTTACTCTTTCAGTATGTGCGAAATGTAACCACTGTTCGTCCACTGGCAGTTAATAACGTCGAGTAAAGTTCTTCATTGCTTTATGGATTTGCATCCAAATTGGTCTACTTTTAATCATTTCTCACTACACACTACATCCTTTTCCAATACTTCATTATGTTTATCGTTGAATATATAGATCGTTCAAAGAATAGGTCTCGCGAATGCAAAGAATTTCTATACCTCGTTAATAGACAGTAGTTCGTGGTGGAAATTATCTTGTTTTTATAGGTTTATTAAGTGAACTGTAGACCTGTTTGGTATTTTATGTTATTAGTGTTATTTATGTTCTAAAAATCTTGCGGATCTGGCTGAACTGCTTTTTATCTATGATGTTTTGTATAAATTCTCAGTTTTTTTAAGTCGTTATCTTTCGTTTATTTATGTACTTCAGTTGTTTCTAACTACATGATACATGGTGAAAACGATAATACGGTTGTAAAATCAATCTCATCGAATTCAACTGATAATATTCAATTGGAGCCAAGTGTTTTCTCTTCTAATTCGTCGAATTTTCTTCCGATTATGATAACAAATTCAAGTACTTCTTCACATATATCTGTGTTACCACGTGTTACCACTAGTACTACTATTACTACTACTACATCTGTCTGTACTGCTTGTACTGCTACTACTGGCAGCAATAGTTTTTCCATCTCACCACATTATTGGATGTTACCTGAAGGTCCTATACCAATACTTCCTTCAACATTATATTCGCCATATCTATTGCCTACATCTACAATTTTAGAAAATTTCCAGTCTATGCAAAGACTACCTATGTTATATCAGTGGACAGTCCAATCGGCGGATACATCTAGTAACAGTATTAACTGTATTAACAATGTATGTGCATCTTTTATACCATATTTATCGCCCTGTGTTGGTATTTTCACTACAAACTCTGTGAATAATAATAATAATAATAATAATAATAATAATAATAATAGTGATGATGATACACAATGTGCCAAAATGAATATTCCGGAGATTAGTACATTTTATCATTCCCCTCAAGAATCTGATAACGACGAACACGATAATAATGATGATCATGAGCATAATGATATCGAAAAGAAAAAGAAAATCAAAGAACTAGATAGTCCATTACATTCTACCAGTACCACTGATGTCTCTATGAATAATAATAATCACAATATTGAAGTAACTACTAACATCACTCCTCTTGAAACTACAAGTTCTTCAATCTGTAATTCTCAGGTGGAACTACTTCATAAAGGCTTGTTTTCACAATCATACATCTTATTGCCTTCATACCCTCCTACTCCTATCCCTACTACTACCACTAATATTCTCCCATATTCAACTTCTAATATGTATGTTAATACTTTAAATTCTTGTGGAATAGTGCAAAATTCACCAGTTTGTCAAGCAAGTATAACGATAACAACAATTTGTAATAATAATAATAGTGGTGGTATCGATCTGATTACAAATAGTAATAATTTGCTTACAAATCATCAGTTGAATACAACTATGATGAAGCAACTGAATGATGAACGGAATTTACCAGAGAATAAAAAGATAAATGTATCAAACGATACAAATATCTGTCCAGTATCACATGAAAAAACGTTTAATGGTATCAACGCCACAGCGAATAGTACGACCTCACCTTCCTTTGTGACTACTGATACTACCATTTTAACGACGAATTTGAACATTAATCGTATCCATTCATCTAACCGGTCAGTTTTACTGGATTCATTTGCCAGTTATTTACTTATATATATTCAAAATTTGTCTGTTCTGCTTTTTATTTTTACAAGAATTTCGTTCTCGTTATTTATTAATCTGAAACAACTGTTATGGTTTCGGTTAAGATATGCGATACTGTCGGTAGAAAGTACTTATATCGATATCAGGGTCTTCTCCAATTCGTTGTATGAGATCATATATGTTTATTTACATCATAAAGGCTCTGTACACAAACTCTTCAAACAAAGTGCGGATGTATGACGACCTCTCTCTATCGTTTCATTTCATCAATGGAGTTAAGCAAGATTATCCTACTCCACATTTCCTCCTAGACGTTGCCTTCGATTACATTCTGAAAATAGCTCTGTTGGGATTAGATAATGGGAGTGTGGACTCATTACCTGGAGAAAGACTTTTCGGTCTTGACTATGCGAATGATTTTTATCTTACTTTGCAATTATAATCTCAAGCTATGCGAATCTCACTTAATCAGTTTACAGTCAAACAGTGTAGGTGTGGTATGTACTTTGAAGCTTCCCAATACATTGTACACCTACAATACTGGGAAGAGATTTTTATGCACTCACTCTTGATGATGAGCAGTTGAAAGTAGTCAAAAACTCCGTATATCTGGGTAGCTGTGTGAATATTTGTTGCACCATAACAGTTAAGATCGATCTACTTATAGTGAAATCCAATCCTGGGTGTCTTATACCGATCTAAATTATCTTTGGCGTTATCCTGGGTGTGATATTTATTATTTATTTGAACACATAAATATTGGTACAAGAGAGCGCCAATATATATGCGCCACACAAAACAATGAGGATTCGAAGAGAAAGAAAAAAAGGTAAGGAGCGTAAAAAAATGAGAACAATAACGAACAGATTAGTGTAAGTTAGTGTAGTAGTAATAAAAATTATAATAATAGTAATAATGGGGGGAACGGAAAGGTACAATCAGAAGAAATCTTTCAGTTAAGGAAGACACAACCACTTTTTATGAAGAAAGTAAAAGAGGGTTACTGCAGGATCGCCACTGGCTTCTATTCTGAGCCATATCTGATAACGTCTCTAGCCACTGTGTCGCACCATCTCTCGGACCCCAAACAGGGAGTCGTGAAGGACCGACAGAAGCCAGTCCTTTGCATCTTTCTTTTATGCCACGACACCATGTCATGCACTGACCACCTCTCCGCTTCTTCCAACCAGTCCCAGAGTCGGCAAATAATGCACGACGTGGAATTCTCTGGGACGACATTCGGAGAACATGTCCAAGCCACCGAAGTCGGTGTTTCAAGATGGTGACATCGATTGCATTATCGGCTCTGTGCCCGAACACACGATGCCGAACCTCTGCATCACTGACATGGTGTTACCACTGGATGTCATCAATCCTTCGGAGAAAACAATGACCAAACACAGAGAGTCGTCTAACATCCTCAACTCGGAGAGGCCAGGTTTCACAATCATAGGGCAAAACTGCTCTCATCGACGCGTTGTAGATCCGACCTTTTACAGACAGATTAACATCACGAAGGCGCCAAAGATGACCCGGATTGGCATAAGCCGCTCTGGCTTTCACTATTCGTGCATTGATCTCATCACTCACGCCACCACCAGCACTTATGCAGATACCTAGATACACGAACTTCTCGACTACTTCTATCTGCTCACCATCTAGGGTGAGTACAGGATTAGAATCCTGCCAGTCTTGTAGAAGTACTTTGCACTTCGAAGGTGCAAAGCACATACCATACCTACGGACACTGATTGCCAACATCTCCAAACCCTAATCTTCCCGATTACTGCTTATACTCTTATTACCTCTATCACTTCGGGATTTGAATCGACAAGTGCATCTCTGTGCTAATGTGGTGTGGCAACTCGAACTGATGTACGTACGTACGAAGTTCTACGTTGTTACTGACTGACTGACTGAAGTGCAGATTGCATGCCTTGGGCATTATCGCACAGTAAGACAATATCGTCCGCATACTCAAGGTCGAGAAGTCTTTCTCCAGGCAACAGATCCGCACCACCATTACTTACATTCATCATAGCTGTTTCCAGAATGTCATCGATGGCAAAGTTGAAGAGGAATGGTGAGATTGGGCAACCCTGCCTAACCCCACTGCTCGAATGGAACAATGGAGAGAGGTGGTTGTATGCCCTTACTCAGCCTGAGGTGTTTGTATATAGGGCTTTTAGGATGTTAATAGACTTCTCAGGCACACCCTTCTCCAATAGACAATCCCAGTGAACAGTCCTGTTCAACGAATCGAAGGTAGCCCTGATATCAAGAAACACTACGATTGTTGGCCTTTGATAAGTATGACGGTGTTCTAACATTTGGCGGAGGGTGAAGATATGATCAATACATCCTCGACCAGAACGAAACCCAGCCTGCTCCTCGCGAGTCAATCTTTCTCGAGTTTTGAACAACCTACGAAGTATGACGGAAGCCAATAGCTTGGACGCAATCGGAAGTAAACTTATCCCCCGATAGTTGTTACAGGAACAACGTGAACCCTTTTTAAAGATAGGGACAACTATCGACTCATTCCATGACGTTGGTACACTCTCTAGTTCCCAAACCTTTGTAAACAACGTCGTCAGTTCCTTAGTCAGAAAGTCACCACCATCTTTAAAAAGAGCCGGAGGTAAGTCATCTGGGCCAGGTGGTTTGTAACACTTCAAGAGTTGGAGTTCCTTGCGGACTTCCGCCTCATTTGGTGGATCAGTCGTCACCGGCCATGGAGGGCAGGACAGTCTGACCGATGTTGCCGGAGCAGCAGGCCATTTGAACTGCCCATCGTCCAAGACGTCGATGGATGTTAGTGATTGGCATCCCATCATTCTCTAATCTAACAGCACATAACCGACTGTTAATGGGGATCCAATCGACTAGTGCTGCCTCAGCTCTAGCGCTTAGTGCGACACCAACGCCAGCAAGACCAGACGAAGATGCCACAGGGTCCCCGGATAAGCGCACGTAAAACAAGCTTTTTGAAGTGACAGATGAAGAGCGAATTTGTAGTACTTCATCAGAGTCTTGAATATGGGTCTCGGATAGACAGCAGACATCGATATGAAGACTTTTCAAAGACATAGCCAGCCCTATCTGTTGTCCAACCTGCATAAATGTGCGAACGTTGAAGACAGCCAGTTTGAATGGTGCATGTGGTTTCAGAAAAACTGCTTCAGTACTCATATTCAGTGGTAACATACAATTTTCAACCGGACAGTGACTCGAGAACGTTTAGATAGAGTCGAATTTCCACCAAAGACGAACCACTGTTTAAGTATAAAAGAGGGTGAATAATGTGGCGGCCTGCTTGAGCATCTGGGCTACCTGTTCCTGCCATCTAGATATTTCGACAAGTTATCTATCTTTGTTTGTTTTAATATATCATTATGTCTATTAATCGCACAACCTATTCTGCTGCGTTTCTGAAAAGTGTACAACCTTTCGTTGTCAAAGTTACAAAAAGCTCAAAAAGAGAGAATATTGTTGCTGGCAATATACAACGAAAAGAATGTACATTATTCAGATATTCATTTACTGGACTGTTAACATCTAGCTGGCGATCACTCAGTATTTTTCGCGAGGACCGACCAAGAAGAAAGAAACGGAAACTTGTTGAAATACTTTGTGCTGAGAATTCTATATCGTACCAATAATATAATATTGAATAAAGCTAATAATAATAATAATAATAGTAATAATAATAATGATAATAATTTGAATCATTTGATTGTTAGTTGAAGCAAGTAATGTAGTTTCCATAGATATAGAGAGTTCATCATTTGCGTGTGGGCTGCGATACTGCCCAGGTGCCCAGACCGAAGCAGGTGGTTATCTTAGGGGGCCTCACCCCGAGCCTTTAATCTAAAGGTCTAACCCACAAGGCAGTGGAGCATCGTAAGGAGATGCAGTCTCATGGTAGCCGGTGACCAACTATTGGTTCATACGCCATTTGTTCCCGCAGGATATTGGAGCCCATGTGCACCATTGGTTTGGAATCCGGTTAATGCGCCGGACATTCACTTTTCGTCCTCTCATTTCCGTAAACAACACCGGTGCCACGAGAAGGCAATGAATAGGACTTCCCTGGCAGAGGCTGTATACGCGTGGCCGTGTGAGAGTATTTCGAGAGGAAGAGCGGACTCTTCCCACTCTTGGCCGTACCAGGCCATTTGGGGGCTAAATTCGAATGGAGTGTGGTGGGATTGACGTGTGGTAGTGGACAAGGGACGTGTAGTCGTTGGATGTAGAGATGATTGTGGAGTGGTATATTGCGACAGGGATTGAGAGTAATCCGGGTGTGTGTTGGTGGAGTAGTTGTACATTGTGAGTGTATTGATAGATGTGTGACGAAGCGAGTGTTGATGTGTTGCGTCGAAAGTGGGAAGCGCCTCCGGGTGTGCTCGAACCACCAACCTTTCGGTTAACAGCCGAACGCGCTAACCGGTTGCGCCACGGAGGCGAAAGATAAACAATACTCTTGTTCATCAACTGCTTTTTTTCAAGCTTTTAAAGTTCTATTTTACCTATCTTTATTTCTAGCCTAATACCTCATCAAGCATATGGTTCTAATCGTACTGATATAATCACTACGGAGGAAACTCATAAAAATCCACCAGTAAATACTGTTGAGAATTGTGACTGTTCAGATTCTACCAACAGTAGCAAACCTTATCCCTTATGGTCTACTAATGAAACTGTTTGTAATCCTACTTGGTTCTATCCTCGTTTTCCTGGTCGACCTGATTCTTCAAATGGTCTACCCTCCAGTACTTCCGGGTCCCAACGTACTTACCCTACTCGTGGTTATTCACCTATGAATTTCAATAATTCTGTTCTACCACGCGGCTATGCTCAACCTCAAATCACCAGTTCGTTTTACTATACACAGCACCCTGGTTTAACATTAGTTCCGAATTCTGTGTCCAGTCATTCACCATTTATTGGTTCAGTTCCTAATCCAAATATGCACTTCCAACAACCACATCCTTTATACGGTTTAGTTCCTAGTTCATCTTCGACTTCTGGGGCGTCACTGAATGGATACCCAGGAATTCCTATGGCCTCAACAAACTCAATTAAATCCAACATTTCTTCCATAGGTCAGTCATCAGTAGCATCAGTTGATCCTATATCAACAGCAGCCTTACTACAAAATGCTTTGATTCAAATACCAAATGTTCCTTTGCTACAGAACTTCGTGCTACATCCGCCTTTACACCCAACATATCCTCCGCCAATACCAAATATACCAGCTAATTGTGCCAATAATCCTGCCATGACAATTTCTTCTTGGTCATCAATAAATGGACCTAGAATAGTCAGTTGTTACAATTGTGGTCAGCCAGGACATAAAGCTAATGTTTGTCCATCTAGATGGTCTAGTCAACAATTATCAGAAAGTAAGCAAAAATTAACTGTTCCGTCAATTGAATTGATAGAAATATTATTTCCTACACACACTCCTCCCAAACTAATCCCCTAATTTTATGTTGAACAATTTTAATGATTTTGATCTCATCTTGTGTGTGCTTCATAGCTCTCTATACGTTCCTAAAGGGCAAAAAACGTTATTAGCTGTTAAGCATATCTCTTAATCAAGTGTGGTAAGATGATCGTACGTTATAAGCATATCTAAACCGGTGTTCGAACTAGAGACTTATTTTCTGAAAGCAGAGTATTTTAAAAAACAATCCTCCATTCTCCCAGATGATATCTTGCGCTATGAACTACATTATTCATATTTATATTCGACACAACTTTAGTGGTCAAGACATCACTTTCAACCATTGATTCTCAGCTTCGAACCCTGTTCTATTGGCTTCGGTTTGGACAGTCGGGTAGTATTACCAAGTATCCTTCATCCATAGAATACTTGACGTATGATGAGTTTTCATTAGTTTTGTATGAATGTTAAATTTTAGTACATTTCCTGGTTAATTAGTTATTTAATAAATTTATTATTTCTTCACTCCATCAATTGGTAAATATCTGTATGTACTAGACTACAGTCCATAATTAGTGTGTGTATGTGTGTGAAAACATTCATCGACTTGGAAAATCGAGAGAGAGAAGCGATACACTTAACTTATCGATTTGAACTTCTCTCTAATTTTTATATCAGTGTTTAATATCAAAAGAAATAAATCAGACAAATTTTGTTTTAGAAATAGTATCTGTTCATTAAGGTGTGTATACACAAACACCATGCTCTAAAGCCTAAATATACATCTATAACCTTTATACTAGAAGTGCGACTCCACATAGTCTTGTATATACAAACTACATGGATATTTATTTATGTTATTCATGTGTATATTTAACTTGCTGATTATAAATCTATTCATTCTTCAATCTCTTGAATCGGGTCTTTTATTTTCAATGTGATGATATCGTACTTTATTCCCTTCATTCTTTTCGAATTATATCCTCTCTTTGTTTAGTTTCAGTTTTTTTTCTACTTTTGTTAGTATTATCATAGAGTAGTACGAAGACTTTTGAAAACGGTCATATTTGTACCAGATGCTAGTTCATTTGCATGAAACAATAATGAATGGTGGTAATTACATGTAGAATAATATACTTCTGACTTTCAACTTCTTTTAAAACAGTTGTTTATAACTCCATTTGACTGTTATCCATAGATCGTTGCATTAATAAAAGAGGTCATCAGTAGCTGCACTGTATTTCGTAACATAATTCTGAAATTCATTTTAGCATAACACAATTCTTACAACTAATCAAATCATATATTGGCATTCTGTATTAAGTTAGATGAATAAGAGGTTGCTGAAGTGTGATAGGTTTATGTGTTCTGTTTTTTAACGGTTATATCATTATTTAGAAATACTCCTTTTTAATCAATTCATGTGATAATTGTACTTTCTCACATCAAATCACATTATTGATTGTTTATTTCTATTTTTTGTTTTTCATTTTTCTTCTTTGTCGGTGTGTTTGTATATATAGATGTTTTCTCGTTAAATTGTGCTCCAAGAAAATAGTATCAAACTATAAAGTAGTAATTATGAATCAAAACAACTCTGGAGAATCACAACCACCGCCGCATAAACTATACTGCTGACTGTGGAACAGAATTGTGTTTATTATTATTCGAAAAACCTTTCATCGATCTATTATTATTATTATTATTATTTCCAATTACGACAATAGACACCGTCATTACTAACGAACTAATCGCATACATGTTCATAATTATGATTATTTCATTCTCTGATTTTTTTCTTATCAACAAAAAATAATTTACACAGTCAAAAAAGATACTAATTACCGTCTTGCCGAGACATGGATACCCAAGCGTTGCCTTGACTCATATCGTTCTTCTAATTCAATGTCCAAGTTAATAGTAGAAAAAAAACTGTATTTTTGAAAGAACCTGAAAAGTTCTTTTTTTTTTTACTATTGATTTTGACATGAGTTTACAGATACCTACCATCTTACAAACCTTGTATTTTAAATTGATATCTATGCATGTTAGTGTGTTTGTGTAGATGGTGTGTATGTGTGGTTGGGTATCTTACTTTTAAAGCAGTCAATATATACTGAACAAAACAATAAGTCCAACAATTCTTCCTAGCATTGTTTTACATTTCATCCTGAATATTGAATTCCTTTTTAACTATTATTATTATTATTCCCATTTAAATAAAAGTATGATAAATTCTTTTTATAATATCTATCACATATAGATTGTAGAGAGACACATTGCTTGATCTAGATATTATATACACACAATTGTTTTTTTTTATTACCCCCAGTTACTTATTTGTATTCTAGCTTGTAAATACTTATACATTGTGTATATGTTATTCACCTGTTTAAGTAAAACTACACTTTCTTTTGAATTAGTAGTATTTTGTTGACAATATAAACCGTTCCTTCTTTTATTTTGTATTGTACACAAGTTATTATATATGTATGCTAATTAGCTTCATTTTATTCAATACCTGAGAGAAACTATGCCATATACAACTTACTTTACAAATATTTATGATAAACATGATTTGATATTTATCTAATAAATCGGGTCGCTGCATGTTTTGCACACTGTGGATCACGGACGATAAAACAAATTGTATTTTCTTCTTTGATGTAGTCCATATTGGAATTGTGCTCCTACTCACCCCTACTGGAAAGCTCCCTAAGCTAGGGAAAAAGATAAGCACGATGACAAAAGTATATGTGTGTGTGTGCTTTATTCTATGTGAGATCCATAGTCATCCTTTTTTAAAAGTTATTTCCCTTCATTCTTGTTTTTATAGTCGATTATTATTATTATTCAATTAGCTTTTTGCCTGCCCACCTACCTGTTTATCTAGATGTTTTTGTCTGTTTTGCGTCATGTTGCGCACACGACACCATATAACATCTGTTTTTTGCTTAGATATATGCATTTCCTTACGTATACATATATGTTGTCTCCATTCTCATTATGCCATGGCAGATAAGAAGGTAGACATAATATGTATTCTGCTTTTATTCAGGTGATAATAATAACAATAATAGTGGTAATTAGTTGTTACTATCTTGAGACAAACACTTGTTACTGTTGTTGCTACTTCATTGTCTTTCTCCAAATGTGTATCTTTATACTTGTGTGAATAAATCTCTACCCATTTAACCTTTACAATATGTTTCCAATTATGTATGTTTGAGCCTGTGAAAAGATGAACAAATAGATAAAATGTCCACTTTACTTTCTCCATCCCCTTACCCTATTCCAATAGCCAGTTATCATAATTTGTGTATGTATTTGCATATACTTCTATTCTCAATTGCCTCTCTTTTCTCTCTCTTGATCGTATTAGTAGGTAGTACAGTTTTTATTTTTTAAAAATTGTTAATAAATTAAAAAAACAAATAGAAATCTCAACATTCTGTTTTGTTTACTTTTTCTTGCCGAAAATAAGTACATGTAAGTAACTTCATTTCAAGAAAACTAATTGCTGTGTTATGATGAATAGTATGCATAAGTCTATGGTGTAAATCATGTATCTTCTAAAATGAACTGGTTTGAATTTACCACTGTTGCTACTACAGTATTAATAATATCCTGCTCAATAATCAGAGTACATTTATAACTTTTTTATCGGCTTTATAAACAATCAATTAACATATGGTGGACGGTGGCATAATTCCGTGGATTGGTTGAAATTAGACATTAACACCGTTGGATGCCGGTCGGCTCAGTGGTCTAGAGTTTAAGCGTTCGTGTGTGAAACCGAAGGTCCTGGGTTTGGATCTCACGAGCCGAATCGTGGATACGCACTGGTGAGGAGTCCAATGCTTCCAGGTTTTCAATGGTGGTCTAGCTTTAATTGACTCATGAATTCAACTATTAAATTAATATACACTTGTCATAAAAATATACTGATAAAGTTTCATATTTTCATTTTTCTGGATTTATATCACAATAGATCCGGAAAACAGTATTTAATGAGTTAAAAACTTCGTTGAACTCAGTCTTCAAATCTTTAATCGTGTAGTTAACATAAAATTGAGATGAAACATTTTTATTGTTTGATTCTTAGTTATTTTCTGACTAATCTTAACCTATTTTAATTATAAAAAAAGATTATGGAATGGAACAAATCTATGAATGACGCTTTTAAACAAAAATCACCTATTCGATATCTAACTATAATATGAAGTCCTAGCAAGTACGGGTACGGTTCACTTATGTGATAAATTCAACTTTTGTCTTCTTTGACTGTCGCAGGCTATCAAGAGTTCGAATCGTGTATTATCATTCAGCGAATCAGACAATTACTGCTCATCTCGGACTGTAATTCATTTCAGAGATATTCTTACCTTAAGGACTGATTACCATCAGTAGGTTCCCACCACAAATTATCGGGTCGGAAGTATAACCTTTAATTACTTACTTCTTGTTGAAAACAAGCAATGCTGCCCCAGTTTAATCGTATAATCAGTCATAAATTAATCCAGTGTTCAGGTGAGCTCAGGGTCCATGGCCCGAGTTAAAATATACAAAGTCCTATTAATCATATACATTGGTTTCTGGTTACATACATGTATTGTCAGCTGATGAGCAGGAAACAATGGTAACAAAACATCATGTTAATCACATTGAACAAACTATTCGTCTGCACACATACTTGAAACGTAAAGTATAAATGATCTTATGATTTAAGCTAAATACTCTTAATCTTATCATTCACACAATATGCTTAGTTCGTAATTGTGTGAAACTTAACAAATCAAATTATCTAGAAAGTGTTCAATATTACCTTCTTCGTCAAATGAATCATTCAGAAAGTATACAAACATCTTAATAAAACATCCTTTTCTCTTCTGCAAGTTTCTAATCATCGCATTTGTCCATAAAGGTAAACAAAAACAATTATTCTTATACGTTTTAATACATAAACATCTTCATGTTTTCCATTGGTTACAACAAACAATAAAATAATATTGTAGATCCTTTTAGACGAAGTGATCATGTGTATAGGAGGTATTTAACTAACAACTAACTTACAGTATTTTCCGTATGGTCATATTGGTAAGCTCTTAATTCAATAATTATAATGGTGTCTGCGACAGTGAAGCAGACACGCTCTATTTAAAAGGACAGTGGTATTCTTTCTCGTTGAGTTAATTAACTGTTTTGATAGTAAATTATGCATCAAAACTACTGTTTACACTTTAATTGCATCTACCCCAGTTAAAGTGATATTTTATTGAGTTTTTCGATTTTGCTTCTGTGTATTTATTGCATCGAAGCATACTTGGTCGACTTTTACTTGGTTTATTTAGTTAAGGTTTGAAAATCCTTTTACATATCCTGTTTTTGTCACCGTTCTAGTTGATTTTCAAGATGGCTAGGTCTACTCATAAATGTGGACAACCATACTGCTTATTTCCCGTGGATGAAGGGATGCAATGTGATGAGTGTAATAAGTGGTTCCATAAGATGTGCACCCGATTAAGCCCCACTGCATATAAAAGGTGTTCAAAGCCCAACTCTCATTGGCTTTGTAGTTTTTGTTGCTCGAGCAAAACATTGCTTATCCAGGAAGCAATTAGTCTCCTGGTGTTGGCTAATAAGAAGGTTGATGAGGGCTGTACTGATAACATTGGTACGGATGGCGAAGATTGCGTTAGTGTCGTAAGTGCTATCACGGCGCAAGCCAGACATCTACCCGTGCAACCCGCAGTTAAACGTTCTCCCCCGAAACGATCAGTGAGTGACACGTCATTAGACGTTGGTGGCCATATTGCTACAGCAGCAACCGGTGACCCAGATAAAACAATTACTGTCCCGAGTTGTTCTAATGTAGACGTTTCGACTGATGGAAAATGGATGACGCGAAAACGCAGAAGAGTAGGAAAGATAGCTAAAACTAATGACTGTTTACTTGGTAAGTCCTTGGTGGACTCTCAGACCAATCCGCCAAAGTCTCATAGTAAAGCTTCGTCTGACATTGTTGTGAGTCATTCGCTTGACTCCCAGGACTCTGTTAAAATAAAAACTAATCGTAAGCTACCAGTAGTTAAAATACAGGATCTAACGTCACGGTCGAAAGCTGTGAACACAGTTTCAAAAGAAGCTAAACCCATCCCTAGTTTAATTATTTGGAATCTAGAGGAGTCGAAAGACAACGACCCTGCTAAAAGACACGCACATGACCTGCAGTTAGTGGAGTCTGTGGTAAGGAATGTACTACCTGAAGAGGTTTCAGGGGTACATATTACAAAAGTAATACGACTTGGTAAATGGGTTGGAGGCGAGACCCAACCAAGAAGGATCCTGAAGCTGGTTCTCGGGAGTTTCGAAGAAAGAGACATATTATTGAAAAGCGCACTAAAAACTCGTGCCTCAAATATCCGTATTCGACCAGATTGGCCGCTTGAGGATCGAATCAAGTGGAAGAATGCTCTTACGGAGTTGAGGACTCGGAAATTAAATGGCGAAAATAACCTTACCATTAAGGGTTTTCGGGTAGTCAGGTCTTGGAAGCCAATGCTTCCGAGGCCTGTATGGGTAGAACGATTGATTGCCAAAACACCTTAAGTGTGTGCTACACGAACGCTCGTAGTCTTAGAAATAAAACGTCCGAGCTAAGTCTGATGGTGCAAGAATTATGTCCCGATATAATCGTTGTTACAGAAACTTGGTTCACCGTTGATATAGACTGTTCTCCTTTCATTGCTGGTTATATCTGTATCAGAAGTGATAGAGTTTCAAGTCGCAAGGGGGGAGGTATAATATTTTACGTTAGGGATCACTTTCGTATACAATCAACCATATCGGAGGCTCATATCAGTGGCACATGTGAGGTTGCATGTTGTAAGATTAAATCTAGAAATGGGTTAGTGACTATAGGGGGAATATACCGTAGTCCGTCTTGTCTGGCTGACGACTTTATCCTAAGACACATCTGTTCTTGGAGTATGGCAGAATGTTGTCTCATCATTGGGGACTTCAACGCACCGCATATCAACTGGATAGAGCTTACAGCTCCAGGTAGTGGTTTCGATAGCGACCTTTTATCTACCGTTATTCAGTGTGCACTTGTACAATGTATCACAAAACCGACACATATTGATTTGCAACATGTTCCGTCACTGCTGGACCTCGCCCTCACCCACCACTCTGAGGATGTCTTTGATATCCAGCACCTTCCTCCACTAGTGAACAGTGATCACGTTGTAATTCACTTTAAGTTTAGGACACATGGTATACAATTCGTATCTGCTCCACCCCGTCCCAATATCTGGCGAGCTAATATTCCGGAAATCAGAAACCGTGCTATCTCGACCGATTGGTCGGTCGACGCGGATGGATTGATCGAAGATGAATGGAATAAGTTTAAGGCTACATTCGAGTCCGTAACGTCGCCGTTTATCCCATGGTCAGCACGTAAGCTATCACATTGCCCTCCATGGATTAATAAGGAAACCCGGAAGCTGTTAAAGCGTAGGAAACATTTCTGGGACTTATTCTTGTTGACAGGTCATGCACCATTTAAGCGTGAGTATCAAAAATACCGTAATATCTGTAAGAAAACCATAGCGAAATCCCGTACCACTTACGAACGACAGTTAGTATATGATAGCCGTACTTGTCCGAAACGATTGTTTTCGTATGTTAAACGGCAAATGAAACGTAGTGATGGTATTCCCCCGTTGCTGTTACACGAAAATTCAGAATTACTAGCTGAATCAGATCGAGCAAAAGCTGAGACTTTTTCAGATTATTTTAGCGAAGTCTTCTCTACGTTTATTGTAACAAATACTTGTCCCACTCACACCGAGATACCAACCATTGAATCTGTACAGGTGACTGAGGAAACTGTCCTTCCGTTGATAACTAACCTCAAACCTGGTAAGATACCGGGCCCTGACGGGTTACATCCACGGTTGCTGTCATCTCTTGCGGACATTATTTCAAAACCGCTTGCGACACTCTTCAACATGTCCCTCTCACTCGCTCAACTCCCTAGAGATTGGAAGGACGCTATAGTTAGTCCTATATTTAAGGACGGTCAGCGACAGATAGTATCTAACTACCGGCCTGTCAGTCTAACTAGCATAGTCGTTAAGTTACTCGAAAAGATAATTCGGGTTAGGTTGCTAAGCCACATAGATTTACACAATCTGTTAGCTCCTGAGCAACACGGATTTCGTAACAAGCGTTCATGCTTGACTAACTTGCTTATTGCGAGGGAGGATTGGACAGCAGCCCTAGATCACGGTCTGTCTGTCGACGTGATATTCATAGATTTTAGCAAAGCGTTTGACAAGGTTTCACACGTAGGTCTTATGCAGAAGCTCACGAGCTTCGGAATAATAGGTACTGTACATGAGTGGATAGGAAATTTCTTATGTGACCGCAGACAGAGAGTTAGGGTCAATG